TTTACACCGGCGCGCACGGATGCACTCGGGCTTTCCGCACTGGCTTGTAAAAATACCTGCAACTGATGTTCCTTCTCAACGGCCGACGCCCCGTCCTTCCGCGGACGTTAGCGACGTGTGCGGCGAAGGGCGTCGCGGTAACGAGAAGGAACGCCCGCAAGTTTCGTAATAACGCGCGGAGAGCTTTTCAGCAACCTCTTATCTTGATATTTGTTAAACGCGGAACACATTCCGGGGTATTCATTAATTTGTTTAACAGACAAGTATATTTGCTTTTTATTTCTATTCGCTCGCTCGCCTCTCTCGCTGTAATCGCTTCTACCGCATCAGTTTTTGTTACGTTGTTGCTTAAACTTTATCGCGATAATGCTTTCGCTCCGAGAGAAATATCGCTGGGACGGGGTAATCTTTCGCAAACACGGGCATTTATGAAAAATCCTTCTATTTACAGCTTACATTTGGAATATTCCAAGTATCACCTTGTATTTTTCCACGTCGTATATTGACTCACGTGACAATGACTGAAACACGCGTCTTAACGCGGGGCTTAACGCGCGGTCTCACATTGCCCTACGACAAGTAGTTCGCAAGTTTACTCTCGCTCCGTCGCGCGGCATTTCCGTAGGTTGCAACGCTTCTACGTTTTTCTTCGCGGGAAACAAAGATGATTGCGCCGTCGAGGTGCCCGCCCGCACTTTTTTTTTTCGCAATAATGATACGACAAGCAGCGAAATGGAACGAAAACATGATGGCGGAAAAATCGCGTTTGCCGAACAAATTATAAGAAAATAGTTATGACGAAGTTGGTTGGTTTACGTACCGTCGCGCTGTGTAATGGCGGTCTTTCTCGGCGCGCACTAAGAAAAATATGGTACGCGCCGGAATTTTTTCGCCAGCTTCCGGCTCGCCCATCGTCGCCGTCGTCGCCGTCGCGTTAAACAATTCCTCCAAACGCGGCCATCATTTCCCGTATTTTTTCTCCCGGCGCGGCGGCGCGTTTAACGGCCATCCAGGGCTTATGTGTGTAACAGGCGCGTCGTTTTCAAATATTATCCGTGAAAACGCGCGGTAAACGTGCCAAACAAGCGCGACTGTGTATGTTCCTGCTTTGTGGGCGCGTTGCAAACGCGAAAAGCTCGATAGAACAATAAAACTACGGCCGGCCGATCGCTGGTATTGAGGTAGCCGGCATTAAACAATTAATTTCCATGTTAACATTTCGTTTCCTCGGTGCTGCAGCCGCGTTACTTATAATTGGATATTTTCACCGGCGCGTGGTAATTTTAAATTGAAACAGCCCGCGGTTGCCGGCGCGCCGAAAATTCAAACTATTTTGCTCAATTACCTACGTCAGATGTGAAACGCGTCGGGCCGAGATCCGTTGAGCTCATAATCGACTGGAGATAAAAGGGTTTCGGGGAAAGCGACGGGGGGAGAGAGAGAGAGCCGGTCCTTACTCACGATTCCGCACCTGCCCGCTGAGATAACACGCGGAATATCGCGGAAATGTCGTCGCACACCCGCTGGTTTCCCGTCGGTGTCGGCGTTGACGTACCGCGCTGGATGCGCCTTCGAATCGTCAAACATTTGCACTTGCCATATCCATCGAGTGCAGCCTGTCCCGCGGGAGGAACGGCATGTAATGCGTTGCGGTATGCATACATGCGTTACACACACGTACACGTACGCGTTGCGCACACAGGCCGCGACTCGCGGGGGAGCGTAACATCGCGCGAGAGAGTACATTACGCGGACGACTCGTTCCGCATCCTAATGCATTCGATATCCGCTTCCTCGAAGTCGGTCAAGGCTCCTCCAGAAGATGCATTTCCACTCGAGGCTTCCTCGCGCGCTCGCGCTCCAAGAGACGACCGCCGCACATCCGAATAGCCAACGTTTGTCCGTCGGCGAGGCCGCAGGTCGATGCGGGAAGGTTGAGGGGCGCCCGCAGGGGAGGCAAGAGGAAATGGAGGAGGAGGAATGATTTATATCCCTCGGGCGCGAAGATCTTACCTCGGGTGTTAGTTCCGCCGGTTGAACATCCAGATGGAAAGCGGGTGGGCGCGTGGGGCGGCGCGAGGAAGGGTTGCCCCCGCGCCAACTTCTTATCGGTGTGTGTATATAATTTTCGGTGGGTTCGCAGTTAGTAGGTAACGTGGTCGCTCTTTGCCCTCGGCGCGGAACGGTGGGATACTTACGACCCGGCGTTTACGCCCGCGCGATGCAACACATTGTTCCCCCAGGGCGCATTAGGGCGGATTTCCCGCGCCGGCTGCTTCGCCCGCGGTTTAGCGATTTTTGCGTGGCCCCGCTATCGGAGCGTTCGGGCAATTCGATACGCGGCAAGTTTCAGCATCGCATTTCTCACCTCGGGAATCCTTGCTGGGACAATACATGGGGCAGGGCTCAGCTGGGTCTTTAAACTGTTCGTATTATAAAGATAAAAGTATAAGCGAACATACGAAACTCGTTTCATAATAAAAGTAACGATATTAAACGAAAAGGGATTTTGATTTTTAAAGCAACTGAAAAAGTTAGGGTTGCCAGTGCCTCTCGCGCCGCCTTGTCCGCGCCAAATTGAGAACGAAATATTGAAGATTTTACTGCTGTGAGGAAAGCAAAAGTCGATGTCTGTTTTACGAGAGCTGTGCAGCGATTGTATTTTTCTAGCTGATTGAATAAGATGTTACGTTCAGTTTACAGTTGTGATTGTGATACAAAAATTCGTTTCTCGGATTTTATCATTTTTATAATATTAAGAGAGATAAGACCGCGAAGGATAATTATAATTTTTTTATGTTACTTTTGTAGAGTAAATTTTATATGAAAATAGCACCTAAACGAAACAAAAACACGTGTTTTCGTCTTTTTTATTATTTTCAGTATTCGTACGCTGTCGTTCCCGCTATTTTATTTACGGGACCGACACTGATTTCGGCAATGGGTCCTGTCGGATAGCAGACTCACGATAATTAGGACGGCAAAGCAGTCTTGCGCTCGATAGTCACAACAGACTGTTGTCGATAAGTTACTCGGGGTAGTTTGGTACTTTCGCCGGTAACCGAACCACTTCTATGAGTTTATTTAAAAACAACGCCAGCCGTTACAATGTTATCGTAAGTTCTTCGCTTAGAACGTTGCACAGCGAGGTATTTTTGTACAAACTTTTTAAAAACGCGACTAAAATTTCAAATATTAAGTTTGCTTGCGTTTCTATCTCCTGAATTTAATCAATAAAGTTATATACCTGTATTGTGTGTCTTGTTATTAAAAAATGACCTATTCTAGACCAATCTGTAGGGTCATTTGCACAAGTGGCTCGAGTGTATGATTTGCAGAAAGAAAAGATTTTATTCAATGCTTAGGAAAAGATAATCTTTTATCTCTTCATACATAAATATAAGTTCGAATGTTTTCGAGAATTCGTTTTTGCGAGATTATAGTGTGTAGACTTTTAATTATAAAATATCGCAGTCATCTTATATTTGTAGGCGGAACTAATGCTTTCATGACAATAGAATACAGTAACATTACTTCCGGTATATGCAATGAACTCTTGCAACATTACGTATCATAAATATTAAAGTTTCTATTTTTATGCGATCCTTTTTATATTTAAATAGGCAGTGCATATAATGAAAAGTATATAAACAGACGTGCATATTATATTCGCTCGTAATTTGAAGAAAATGATGAGCGACGTTCTTAACAGTTTCGCCATTATTTCGCTTTAAATTTAAAATGGTTTAAAAAAAATCGAAGGTAAAAATATTCGAATACACGTCGCACCTTTTCTCCTTTACTTTTAAAGAAAAATTATGCTTTTGGCCATGTTTTTCTGATATTGCCCCAATGCCGCGGTAATCTCCCTATTTATAGAAGAGAGCGAAATATCCCCGGTTTAAACGCACCCTGCTCGGCTTTCTTGACTTCCCTCGCAAATACGCGCGAAGGATATAATCCGATTACACATTTTGATACGTTCAGAGATGGTGTAGAACAATGCGCGCGTGCTTGACTGCATTTTCCTGCCGGGTGTATTTTCCTGCCGTTTGCTTTAGTCTCGCGTTCTAGTCACACTAGCGACCTTTTTTTAGTTTTGAGGCTAATCATTTCTCTTTTCAAATTTATACCAGCTGCGACTAAACGACAAAACGCCGAATTGTACTTTCTCTGAGTTTTCATATCTTGATTCGATGATAAAAAATTAATATCTTTATTTAAAGCTTTCGATTAAACTTTATTCCGCAAAGTAGAACGCGCTCTTTTTGAGCGCATAAGCATATTTTACGTAACGCTGACCTGCCATAAATAAATAACAAATTTTACACGTGCTCCGACTGTTTTTGTAAAGGATTCGCTTTGTTCGGGGTAATCTTTCTCGAGGCGTTAGTTCGCCACCGGGGACTAATGCAAGATTCGTCGTTACACGACGGCCTCATCTCGCCACGGTCCGTTTTATTCCGCTCACGTATCCCTATGAAATTATTCACGCTAGCCGGCGACACATTGTGCCTCGCGGTTCTGGAAGAATAAATGGCGAACATAAAACGCGCCACGGCAAAGGGAGCTACTCCTCGGTCTTAACGCGAACACGTTATGACGAGAGCACACGATATTCGCCTCACGATTATTTTCTACGTCATGTTTTCAGCGACTTCGCCCCCTTGCCTCGAGCACGAAAATGGTGATTCGACGATAACTTACGTCCCACGGCAGAATTTATGTAATAATCGTCGCATATATTATCACTTTGCTTCATCACATATAACGTTATTGTATTAGAGACTGATATCGTTCTGGTGAGTTCATTTCTTCATGTCGTAGGCACGCGGAAGGGGCGTAAAATGTATCGATGAAATCTTTCGAAAAAACTTCTTGCTTATATTGCTGACCCACCCAACTGTCCGATCATCAGTCAGAAATTACTCTTGCATATTCCCGAAGTCGACGTCCGAGGTGCGGCAATACACGACTCGTACGTTCGTTTCTTCTTCCAGCTGGGATGCCGGCCATGGAATCTCAGTTTGACGAGCGTGATCATCCTGGCGCTGTCGAACATGCTGCTGACATTTCTGCTGCTGCAATCGGAGACTTGCGCGCCGGAAACGATCCCACGGGAAGTGGAGGTGAGCGCCGTCACCGACTGGAATCTCGGCACCCTCGTCAAGCACGAGCAACAGTCGGAATGCATCACGCAGGATTACCAGCCCACGTCACCTGACGCTAACAGTCTCAAGCTGGACATTAAGCTCGGCAGATGGGACGCCCGGCGGATATTCCGGACGTTCGACTCTGTGCTGGTCGGCAGCAGATTTACAGAGCTCTCGCAAACTTACCGGGTGTGCCTGGCCACCCAGAGCTCCGTGGAGAAGCTACACTCGCTGGTACAGGTCGCCCTCCACTGGACCGGACCGATGTCCGTGGCGCTCTATGCCGCCGGTGACGAGGAATTCGAGGTGCTGCAGCGTTACCTGGTGTACCTGAGGAGGTGCTACGAGTCCATCCGAGAGAGAGTCATCTTCTCTTTGGCGGTACCGAAGATGCGAACGCCCAGGAAGCAGCCGCGCGTCTTCGAGCTGCCGGACATCGTCGATTGTGCCAAACCGGAGGCCACCCTCAACGAGCTCATGACCCGCGTGTCCAGCGAGCAGACCAATTGGCGGATACGGAACGTATATCCGCAGAACCACATGCGGAACCTAGCGCGCAAAAACTGCCAGACGGACTACGTGTTTCTAACGGATGTCGACATCGTGCCGAGCTTCAATCTGACGGCCGTGCTCGACGAGTTTCTCAGAAACGACAACTGTGATAAGTGCGCCTACGTAATACCCACGTACGAGTTGGACACGCGCGTGAGATTTCCCCAAAATAAGACGGAGTTGATCAGGCTCGCCAGGAAAGGCTTGGCCAGACCCTTCCACCAGAAAGTCTTCATACACAATCAGTTTGCCACGAATTTTACAAGGTAAATGACACACTTTACACTAAACGCGTTATTTAATATCGTATTAATTCATTAGAAATTTCTTCAAATTGCGTACGTTTTAATATTAGTTGGAAACGATTAAAGTACTAATCAATTTAGCAGCCGTTGATTGAAATTGATTAAACGCTATAAATGTAACAATTCATGAATTCATAATAATGTTTTTTACAACAAGTCGTATTATCTGTACGACCTCGGTGATAATTTGTTAATAATAATTGGACAATTTTGCTGTTATCCAGAGATTATACAATATTTTTGGATAATAATTCGTGCATAAAATATGAATTGTCAACTAAACGTGTGAAATTTTTGGACGGCACGTAGCGCGCAGACGTTTTAAAGACTTTTTTACTTTACAGGTGGCTGCAGGACGTATCACCGAATCATATACATCATGAAAACGTAAAGACGGGTAGGGTCTACGTTAGTCACGACGTGACGAATTTCGAATTCCTTTATGAGCCGTTTTACGTGGCAAGGGATATCGCGCCGCCCCACGATGAGAGGTTTATGGGATACGGATATACGAGGAATACCCAGGTACGCGATATTTCCTGAGATACGTAGTTTTTCCTTCTGGTAGTTTGCACTCTCGCCATCCGCGTGACGAATACGTTAGCGGCGTCGGAATTGAAAATGCAATTTCGCCGCCGAGTACGAGATAACATAAAATGATACAATACGAAAGTTTACGTTCCGATCCACGCGGAGGTTGATGATATATGAACGCGATTCCTTCCGCTAATGTGCGAAAATACTCGTGCTCGGGAAGATAAGCGCGACGGATGATACCAGTATATAGAAAAACGGCGCTCGAGGTCATTATTAATGCCTTTCTACACCTAAGGTTGATCTTGCTTGTGGCTCATCCGAGTGAGTAGATAGAGAGCAAAAATCGTATCAAGACCATTTATGGACTTAAGGGAATGCCGGAGTGATTCCGCACTGTTTGCACCTTTTGCTCCTTATAGAACTATCAGTTGATGAAAACATTTGTGTAATATACAAATTATGCGAACGCTTTCGAGCTGTACGCATAAGCCTTATAATTTGTGTATTACACAAATGTTTTTATGAATCGACAGTTCTAGGTGCAAACAGTGCACAGTCACTCCAGCATTCCCTTAAGTGGCATTTTTAATGTAAGAAGACGGTTAAAAATCGTACAAAATCATGCTTTAGTACACTGAGAAATATTTCTTGATTCAACTGTATGCAGCGATCACGGGTTGCCAAGCAAATATTTATCAATTAGTAAAAATATTTGTCAATTCATAAAAATATATATTTCAATGAATCACTGATGAACCACAAGCAGGATCATCCTTAGATGTGGAAAGGGCATTTACGAAATGTATATTGAATCAATTAGCAATCGGTATCGTAGAACAGTTTAGATTAAAAGTGCTCTCGCGGCAACGACACTCTCGATGGAGGGACAAGCGGAAATGAACGGTAAAGAACATAAATGGCTCACATCTGCGACGTTTCCATGATAATTGCGCGCGTGGGTGTCGCGCGCGAGCGTGTATTTCATCAAGCGCGAACCGGTTTATCCGAGCGTCGGGGAGATAAAAAGCATTACATTGGAAATTAATATACCTTTCAGGGTATTAATGGGATTAGTGAATAAATGGCAATAATGGAACCGGCAGCTACACCGGCCATTACTACATTTCTACGCTTCTGTAAATAGTCAGCATAAATTACACTAAAAGATGTATATTTTGGGATATTAACGGTAAAAGCAGGGAACACCCTGCGTATACATATTTCCGCGTTCCACCGACCGGAAAGGAGAGAGGAAGAGAGAGAGAGAGAGAGAGAGAGAGAGAGAGAGAGAGAGAGAGAGAGAGAGAGAGAGAGAGAGAGAGAGAGAGAG